TAATGAATTAATTTTTTTTTTTTTGCACTATAATTATATCATTTTGGGAGATAAACATTTAACTGACGTCATTTTTAAGTAAGTTATAAATAAATGCTAATAAATACATTCTTAAACTGGCCGAGTTTTTTTTGTTATCTTCATTTTACATAACTTTAATCTTCATCGTGTATATGGATGAAATTGACATTTTGAATATTTGCTAATGGATCTATATTGAATATGTTCCCAGTGTTACGTGACAGGATTTGAATGATGTGGGTAAATAAGTAAAACGCAGGTTGTGTCTTCGTTCAGGAAGTAAGATTTTCAAATCTTTTTTAGGATGTTTATAACTGTATAGGATTCAGGTAAAACTTGTTTTTTCATCAACCTTGGGTACTGAGAAATATGTTTGCTAGATTATGTGTAAATTAACTTTGAATGAAATTGTTATCATTCTGGGTTTCATCGCCTTTTATTTATTAATTCATTTATTTCATTAATTGTCATGCCATCTTGATAAATTGATATATGTGTAATTAATAAAATGTTAAAGTCCAGCTATGTTTCTAATTACATGTCTTTAAAGGGACTCCACTGAGGTTTTTTGACGAGTCAGGACTGGGAACATTTTCCCGAGATTGATGTACAATTTGATGAAGGTCTGGGCTAATTAACTTGCGCGCAAATTTTCAGTTCATTCCTTAATTCTGTTTTTCCAGAATAATCATTTTTATTGCGCAAAATGACCAGAAAATGAAAATAGTTGCAAGGCTTTTCACTCAAATCTGGCTAAGAATAGCAGAGAAAAATACAATTTTCAATTCAATGCTCAGTATATTTCTTTGTTATCCTTTGCAGAGTTTACCATTTTAAATGTTCCACTTGATATTTTTAAGATTTTTAGATTTTATGTTTTTAGGCCTGACTGGACCTCAGTGGAGTTCCTTTAAGAACAAAATGAGAATATTTTATTAGTGATCAAACTGAATCTGGTGATTTTTTTAATGACCATAATGACCGCCTCCGTGGTCGAGGGGTTAGAGCCGATGACTTCTAATCCAGGTACCTCTCTGGCGTGGGTTCGATCCCCGGGAGATGCTTTGGTAGTTTAGGGCGGAGGAAGGAAGTCAAGTACTGGTGTAACTCTCCAGGAACGATGGTTAGGAAACTACCCGCCTATATGACTGAAATACTGTTGGAAAAAGGTGTAAAATAAAACAAACAAACAAACAATAATGACCATAATCTAGCAATTGTTTCTTATTTTATATTCCAAATTCGTCCTTTTAATGTTAAAAAGACTATTCCTACCAAATATTTGAATTTTAGAAGGTAATAAATTTATGGTGCATGCTGTTATGTTGGTGTTAATAAGGTTTTGGTAACTTGTGAATATTGACTGACCCTAACATATTTAATTTATTTATATTTATTTTTTTCCAGCATAATTATTATGAAAATGAAATATCTTAATAATTATTACGAAAAGCGATGAATTTTATAAAAAAAAATCAAAATTAACTTATATAATAACTTATATAACTTATAAACTTGGGTTGGGATGGTGTGCATTTTGTTGGTGGTAAGTGAGTAAAAGAAAATCTGAAATAACATGTCCATTGATCTTTTATGACTCATGATGCTCATTTAATGATAGAGATAGAAAACATGACTAAGGGAAAATGGAAATATGAAAAATATGCTTTAAGGGGCAAGAGTGGGGGAGGGGGGCATAAACATGGCCACTAGGGGGAGTGGAAATAATTTATGAAAATGGCCATTAATGGAAATGTAAGGTGTGAAATGAAATTCAAACTAAAAGCACTTAAACTTTTAAATAAGATTGTTAATCCGTATAACTGAAGCTGTTCCATGTTTCCTTTCACCCTGTTTGTGGATTTATTTTCATTATTCTACTCTAAATATTAATTGAGCTGCGTCACGACAAAACCAACATAGTGGGTTTGCGACCAGAGCCTGCACATCCGCGCAGTCTGATCAGGATCCATTCTGTTACAAACTATTACAAGTGGAGAAACTGACAGCGAACAGCATGGATCCTGATCAGACTGCGCGGATGCGCAGGCTGGTCTGGATCCATGCTGGTCGCAAACGCACTATGTTGGTTTTGTTGCGACGCGGCTTATATCATGCTGCAAAAGCTGCATCTGAACATGAGGGTAAACTGCCATTAAATTTTCAAAAGTAACATTCTAGTAACTTTATTGTTTGAAAATTTAAATGGTTGGTCATCAATATAAAAAAGAAAACCTAAGCTACCACTAGTATAGACCCTGGTCAGACTGCATGGATGTGTTAGCTGGCATGGCTCTATACTGGACAGGCGGGATTAATGCTATATCATTACCAACTCCTTCAGTTCCAACAGGGTTGTAAAGTCTTCTGTGAAGAAGGCATTCGTCTGTCATCTTTTTTGGAGCATCAAACTTCCTTGTCCCATTGTTGTATTTATTATTTAGGTAAATTTTTCCCTTTATGAAAACTGTTTAGTATATATGTATACTCAAAATAGGATATTTGTTTTTGTATCAGTTCGATTTTTTTTTTATTTTGTATAGCAAACTTGAGTATAGGGTTTTTTTTTATCTCAGTATTTTATATTGGGATATTTTTAGAACTGATGGGAGAGATTTCAGTTTATCAGTTGATTTAAGTTTTGTACAAATTTCACCTATATTTTATATTAATTATATGAAGGAGGAAGTTTTGCTGAAAAGTTTAAATATCAGGTAAATGTTTAACTTCCTAGACTTGTTTACAAAAATCCTTTTATTTAAACTTGTTTATCAAAAAAATAATGAATAGGAAGTTTTCAAATCATAATAAGCAAAACTTTCCATGTATATTTATGCCACCGCAGCATCTGCGATGCGGTGGCATATAGCGATTCACCTGTGTGTGTGTGTGTGTGTGTTTGTGTGTGTGTTTGTGCGTGTGTTATATAGATTATATAGTGAACTTAAAAAATCTTCTTGTGAAAAACCACTAGTCCAATTTCAACCAAACTTGGCAGGATTGTTCCTTGGGTGAAGGGCTTCCAAAGTTGTTCAAAGAATTTCATTCCATGCAGAAATCTGGTTGCCATGGCAACCAAAAGGAATTATAAGAATAAATTTAAAAAATGTTCTTGTAAAGACCCAAAAGGCCTAGAGCTTAGATATTTTGCATAAGGCATTGTCTGGTAGACCTCTAACAAGATTGTTCAAATTATAGCCCTGGGGTCAAAATTGGCCCCGCCCGGGGGTCATGGATTTTCACTATGTACATATAGTAAAAACTTAAAATACCTTCTTGTAAAAACCCAAAAGGCCTAGAGCTTAGATATTTTGCATAAGGCATCGTCTGGTAGACCCTTACCAAGATTGTTCAAATTATAGCCCTTGGGTCAAAATCGGCCCCGCCCCAAGGTTATTGATTTTCAATATATGTACATATATTAAAAACTTAAAACACCTTCTTGTAAAGACCCAAAAGGCCTAGACTTTAGATATTTTGCATAACGCATTGTCTGGTAGACTTCTACCCAGATTGTTCAAATTATAGCCCTGGGGTCAAAATCGGCCCCGCCCCGGGGGTCATTGGTTTTCCTTATATGTATATAGTAAAAACTTAAAGTAAAAACTTCAAAAAAAATTCTTCTAGCAATTGACAAATGCTAGAGGTTAGATATTTTGCATGAAAAATTGTGTAGTAAACCTCTAGGAAGATTGTTCAAATTATAGCCCTGGGGTCAAAATTGCCCCCGCCCTGGGGGTCATTGATTTCAAAATATACATATAGTAAAAAATAAAAAAAATCTGATTGTCTGAAGGTACAAGGCTTAGAGCTTTAATATTTGTTAAATAATATCATCTAAAGGTACTCTACAAAAGTTATTCAAATTTTGCCTCTTGTGTCAAAATTAGCCCCGCCCCCGGGGGCCATAGGTTTTCCTTATATGTATATAGTAAAAACTTAAAAAATCATCTTCTCTAAATTTACAAAGGCTAGAGTTGAAACATTGTGTAGTGAACCTCTTGCAAGATTGTTCAAATTATAGCCCTGGGGTCAAAATTGGTTCCGCCCCGGGGGTCATTGATTTTCATTATGTACATATAGTGGAAAAATGAAAAATATTTTTGTCTGAAGGTACAAGGCATAGAGCTTTGATGTTTGATATATAATATCATTTATAGGTCCTCTACCAAAGTTGTTCAAATTTTTACCCTGGTGTCAAAATTGGCCCTGCCCAGGGGCAGTGATTCTCATTATGTTCACATAGTAAAACAAATGTTTTCTGAATGGGAGAAAGCTATAGCTTAGATATTTGACTTGAAATGTTGTTTGGTGGACCTGTATCAAAATTGTTTTGAATTAAACCCTTGGGTAAAAATTATGCTTTGCCCAAGGGGACAGTGACCTACTTTCTTGTCCTTTGATGTACAGCAATGACATTTTGACTATGTGCACAGGTTTAGTTGTAAAATTGAACTTTGATATCAGGTGACCTAGATTTTGATGATGTGACCTACTTTCTTGTCCTTTGATGTACAGCTATGAAATTTGAACCATGCGGTGGCATAGCATTTTTCTCAAATGCAATCTTGTTTTATTTTTTTACTGTGACATACACAAACATAATGGTAAAGGATCTGTATATACATTTTTTTAACTTTTGAGTTCATTGTTACTTTTACTCATGTTCATATTTTGTTGGGTTTTTGTGTGGTCCATGGTAAACTAATGTATGAAATCATTAGACTTAGAATTCCAGTGTCACCAGAGAGAATAAAGAAATTGCTTTTTTTGTGTTTTTTTAAGAAACATTATAAACTTAAGCTTTGGAATGATTCATTATTTACATATGACATTAAATATGTTTTACATGGAAGGAAAATCAAACATGTTAGGTTTTCATGGTGAACTTTTGACTGTTTATTATGTTTCATTATTTAAATTCATATGATTTTTTTAACCACATATTTATTCTTAAGTTTTATGTTTTTTAATTTCAGGATAGCAAACGGAAGTCTAGGGATATCACTACTCTCACTGATGATACTCTAGGCTGTATTCAAGAGCAAAGGTCAGAGGTCAAGGACACTGAAGAAAGTTCCAAGGTCACTGAAACTACTTCTGAGGTCAAGGTACCTGAGACAATTTCAGAGGTCAAAGTTACTGCAGAAGTAAAAGCTGAAGTTAATGAAACAGTAAAAGATAGTGAAGTTAAGGTGAAAGAAGTTTCTAGTGAATTGGAAACTAACACAAATGAAATTTCAGATTCACATGTAACTCAAAGTGTTGATACTCAAACAGAATTATTTGAACAAAAGTCGGGTGATAAAACAGACAAAAGTGTTAAGGCTAGATTCTGTGTTTAAAATCAGAAAACCCAAAAAAATTCCCCAAATCTTTTCCCTTTTCCCCAATCTGTGATAGAGGGGTGAAACAGAAGAAAAAAAGGTTTTTTTAAAAAACAAGCCCGCCCAATTTCTAAGGGAAAACCCGGAAAAAAGGGGCCCGTAATTTGACAAAAACTTCTGGGGTAATGAGAAAATTAAAGATTTAAGATGACCCGTGCTAAAAGTGGCAACCCGGAGATGGAGGGGGAAACCCCCGTTGTTTTGAGAAAAAAAAACAAATTTCACCCCGATATGGAATGTTCAAAAGGGAAAAATTATATAAATAAAATTTTGGGAACTTATTTAATGCAAAAAAAGTAATTCGTGGAACCCCAGATACAACATAATCGCTTTGGGTTTTTTGGGCCTTTTTTTACGCCATTCAATTTCCCCCAATTTTCATTTCTAATAGGGTATATTAGTGTTTGGATGAGTAGGGTTTTATACATTTACTTCGCGTTCTCCCTATCTTTTCATATGGGATTTCAAGGGTCACCCTGACACTGACCTTATTAATAAGAACCCCATTTAACCAACTTTTCCTCAAAAACTAAGCCCATGAACATGGTTTGCCCTTTATTTCAGATTTATTAGTCATCTCAAGCACAAACTCTAGCAAATTCAATAAGGAGTTTTAATATTATAAGTAGAGTCGATCATGTTACATAAAAATTCACTGAAATGTTACATTAAAAACTCACTGAATGATTGAGTTATGGCCCTTTGATTTTACAAATCCTCAACTGATACAATGACACATGTTTTGTCAAAGAATAGGCTGAACTATTGAATGTCATTACAATTCATGGATTCTAACATAGGTACATGTACATCAAAGAGGAGCACAAATTGTTATCTTGTGCTGTATTAAATGATAATACATATATATATTTTGCTTTAAAATAATATATTTAATGTACTCACTGTAAAGACAGTGTTCAAGAAATATTTTAATGGACTGTAGAAGAAATGGCAAAGCATTTTTAAGCAGCACCTTGTCATTCAGATATTGATTGGCATGGAAACAAGGCTTTAAAAAATTGTGTGATGTTATAATCAGATTTCATTGTAAATATACAATAATTTTAGGATGTAGGATGCTGAAATTCAATAACAATTTTGTTTGTAAATGTATGCTTTAAAACTAGCTTTACAACTAAATTTACAGAAAAAACAACAAGAACAAAAGACAACATGTAAATGGGAAATGCCTAGAAATAAGTTAGAAAAGAAATTGTTCATTTGATTAATATTTGCTAAAGAATGCTTAATGCAACATATTGATTGATTGATAGGTTAAGATATTGGTTGCACATGGTATATAGCCATCTTTAAATTGATTGGTGTTTAGGTCAAAGGTTAAAGTTTGGTAAAGTGATGAACTATAATGATGTAGTACTGATATCAAGCAATCAATCCTCATTTTTGGTGAAGTTGAAGGATTATTAATTGATTGGATGGAGTTTAAGGTCAAAGTTGAATATCATTACTCTTACAATCTATAAATAGATGTCATTGACCCTCGTAAGAGGTCTTACATGTTTGATTACCTAATTACCGGCACTTGTCCTGCTTCTAAAAGAATATATTAAGTCTTTCAGGGATTTTGTTTTCACTAGTAGCCTAAAGGTGGCTCTTGCTAAATTTTGGTCATGTGACATATTAATAAGATCAACATAGGAGTTTTGATTAACTTTTGTTTCACAGTTTGGGAAATAAATTTTTTATAAGGCATCATAAATTATAAATTTTTAGAAAATTGCATGAAACCTTAAACCTAACTTCCTGATCCATGTAAATTGTTTTTTGTTTCCTTAAAGTCGACACACACCCAGCACTTGTCTTGCTCCAGAACTTTCACTTATTGATTGCCATGTGTAAATATTTGTACATTTTTAAATAAATAAGTTTGTAAACAAACAAATGCTATTAGTTTTACTGTTATTTTAATATAATGATATCAAAGCTTAAATATTTGCATATCTTTTATTTCTTGGCAGCTTTTTACCTTTTGCACAATTTCCATTGTTCTTTTGCCCCATTTATCCATATTTGGCTTCATTAATTTACTCTTGATTTGTTTTGTGCTGCTAAGAAAACCCATTTGAAGCTGAAGTGTGCTGTAAGTTTTTTGTAATAGTTTATAGCACAAACGTTGTTATTTTATGTTTATTTTATCCAATTTTCATGCATGATTGTGATGTTGTATTATTTGATGTTAGCAAAGGGAGATAATTCTTTTAGGAACTGTTCATTTAGCTTGTGTAAGAGTTATGCAGCATGTTTTGTAAATGATGCTTGTTTGAATTTTTGTATGTATTGTGTTAGGCAAAAAATTTCTAGTTTGGTCTACATATTTAATAATCAACCCTGATATATTGGCATAATAAACATGCCCTGCGTTGATACTTGAAGATGTCTTAGTATCAAAATTCTAATATTTTGCAACCAACAGCTTGACTGACTCTTGTAGTAATGGTGGAATAAACAAGTAATTTTTCTGCTAGCATTTAAAGTCTGAAACATCATAAATCTGCTATAATTCAAACAATTTGCTCAGCTCATATTGAATGATAAGAGTCAGTTTGTAGTAAGTGTTCTGTAATCTTTTAAAGATCAAAACAAATGGAAAATTCAAAAGTTGAAATCTGTTATTTTTATTTCACTCAACGAAAACCGGGTTATTGTAATGCCGAAGTCGGCGGGCTGGCGGGTGGGAGGGCGGACAGGCGATCGTCAACTTTTTGTTTCCGCTCAATAACTTTAGTTTGCTTTGGCCTATTGTCACCAAACTTGGTGTGTAGGTAGCTTATATCAAGAGGCAGCTTGGGATTGCTACCCAGGTGTCTGTGATCAAGGTCAAGGTCACTGTTACTAAAAATAGAAATTCAGTTTCCGCTCAATAAATTGAGTTTGCTTTGGCCTATTGTCACCAAAACTTGGTGAATAGGTAGCTTATATCAAGAGGCAGCTTGGGATTGCTACCCAGGTGTCTGTGATCAAGGTCAAGGTCACTGTTACTAAAAACAGAAATTCAGTTTCTGCTCAATAACTTGAGTTTGCCTTGGCCTATTGACACCAAACTTGGTGTATGGATAGCTTATATCAAGAGGCAGCTTGGAATTGCTATCAAAGTGTCTGTGATTAAGGTCAAGGTCACTGTTATTATGTCTCCCCCACCTCGGGGGGAGACATATTGTTTTTGCCCTGTCCGTCCGTCAGTCCGTCCGTCCGTCCGTCAGTCCGTCCGTCCATTCTTCGTTTCCGGACGATAACTAGAGTTCCTTTTGACCTACAGCCCTCAAACTTCATAGGATGATTGGTCTTATAGAGCTGATGATCCCTATTGTTTTTGGGGTCAGTAGGTCAAAGGTCAAGGTCACACTGACCGTTGGTCAATTTCTCGTTTCCGGATGATAACTAGAGTTCCTTTTAGACCTACAGACCTCAAACTTCATAGGATGATTGGTCTTATTGAGCAGATGATCCCTATTGTTTTTGGGGTCAGTAGTTCAAAGGTCAAGGTCACAGTGACCGTTGGTCAATTTCTCGTTTCCGGATGATAACTAGAGTTCCTTTTGACCTACAGCCCTCAAACTTCATAGGATGATTGGTCTTATAGAGCAGATGATCCTATTGTTTTTGGGGTCAGTAGTTCAAAGGTCAAGGTCACAGTGACCGTTGGTCAATTTCTCGTTTCCGGATGATAACTAGAGTTCCTTTTGACCTACAGCCTCAAACTTCATAGGATGATTGGTCTTATAGAGCTGATGATCCCTATTGTTTTTGGGGTCAGTAGGTCAAAGGTCAAGGTCACAGTGACCGTTGGTCAATTTCTCGTTTCCGGATGATAACTAGAGTTCCTTTTGACCTACAGCCCTCAAACTTCATAGGATGATTGGTCTTATAGAGCAGATGATCCCTATTGTTTTTGGGGTCAGTAGTTCAAAGGTCAAGGTCACAGTGACCGTTGGTCAATTTCTCGTTTCCGGATGATAACTAGAGTTCCTTTTGACCTACAGCCCTCAAACTTCATAGGATGATTGGTCTTATGGAGCTGATGATCCCTATTGTTTTTGGGGTCAGTAGGTCAAAGGTCAAGGTCACACTGACCGTTGGTCAATTTCTCGTTTCCGGATGATAACTAGAGTTCCTTTAGACCTACAGACCTCAAACTTCATAGGATGATTGGTCTTATTGAGCAGATGATCCCTATTGTTTTTGGTGTCAGTAGTTCAAAGGTCAAGGTCACAGTGACCGTTGGTCAATTTCTCGTTTCCGGATGATAACTAGAGTTCCTTTTGACCTACAGCCCTCAAACTTCATAGGATGATTGGTCTTATAGAGCAGATGATCCCTATTGTTTTTGGGGTCAGTAGGTCAAAGGTCAAGGTCATGGTGACCGTTGGTCAATTTCTCATTTCCGGATGATAACTAGAGTTCCTTTTGACCTACAACCCTCAAACTTCATAGGATGATTGGTCTTATTAATCAAATGATCCCTATTGTTTTAATGGTCAGTAGGTCAAAGGTCAAGGTCACAGCAACCGTTGGTTAATTTCTCCTTTCCGGATGATAACTAGAGTTCCTTTAGACCTACAACCCTCAAACTTCATAGGATGATTGGTCTTATTGAGCAGATGATCCCTCTTGTTTATGGGGTCAGTAGGTCAAAGGTTAAGGTCACAGTGACCATTGGTCATTTTCTCATTTCCGGATGATAACTAGAGTTCTTATCAGTGAGGACATTTAACTATTATTGATATATCAGTGATATATCAGTTGTCTGGTTTTATATACTCTGTTCTTTTTTGATCTTTCCACCCTTATGCGGTTATCATGATTTGACATACATTGAAATTTGAGTTGTCTTTCAATAGTGTAAAAAATCTGACAATATGAACGTTTGTTTCAAGTATCATCAAAATCCTTCAAAGGGTTGAAGAGTTATGGAGCAGACACAATTTCCTTTAATTTCG